CTCTCGGGGGATTCCATACAAGCTAGATAATCAGCAAATTGATCTCCTTCATGTGTCCTGCGAGGTATGGTGAGGACTCTCAGAAGCAGATCCCATACAAGCTAGATAATCGGCACATAGATTTTTTTCAAGTCTTCAAGAATGTCACTTGCGTGTATGTTCTTAATTACCTCTTCTAGGCCGATTTCCCACATGTTAGTGCTTCTTCTTTTTCTTTTTTTTCTGTCAGTTTTCTCACACCAGAACATAGCCTATGATCTCTCAATTAATCAGGTTAAAATTACATGCTATTTATGCCAGAACTAATCACGCATATTCATGGATATTACCCTTATGAGATCGACATTGAAAACCAGCTGCATACCCACCAAAAAAGACCTCAACAGCAAGCATTATTATATGCCATCTATTTATGTTGAAGCCTCAATAATTCTTGGAGTACCCTTACACCATATATCACAGTCGAGTTAAGTGATTGCACAACCTCTTGTATCGTGGTTAGGTCTAGACAGTTAATGCTTTATGTAACTACCGATCATATTTGAGCAATCCACTGTAGAGACGTTACAGACATCCAAATCTGGGGCAAGGAATGGTCACAGCCGGCACCGCCTCTAGGCTTTCCAGATCAAGGATTTGCAAGGATCAGCAGCTCCTGTAGTAGGTGGGGCTAGTGTATATGAAAGCAGTGTCGTTTTCATGGGGTTTCACCGCATGGACTAGACTCCTTCTTTGCCAAGGGATATGAAGAGAGAAGGCCCTACCTCATCGACACTTGTTCATAGAAATCTCTTTTATCTGGAAGATATTAAAAACTTGTGGATAATAACCCCTCGTTGGCTTTAGTTTCATGCCCCCACTCGCTTCCTCTTTATATGATAAATTCCTTTATGCCTAAATAAAGCTAATGTTTTATTTAAATTATAATTTTCTTTCCTTTATTTTTCATGCAAAACAGTCATAATAAAGCTCCTTATGTTCAAGAGAAAAAAAAATCATCTCTTTATGTTCGTTCTTTAACCTCATAAAATCCAATTCACACTTGTAAACAAAACAGAGACAACTTCAAAATATTATCAAAAAGTAAACTTAATCCTAACACACGAAAGTAATTCAAGAACATCTTATAAAACTAAAAACAATAAAAAAAAATGTATTCTTTTATGGATCTGGTTGTGTTTCAATTCTTTTTAGCGCAAGTTAAACTTTTGTGAAATCAGTTCGAATGTATATAATTGCACTAAATCCAAGGGAAACTTTCAAGTACCCGTAAAATAGCTCATGATGAGCTTGTATGGTTAATTGAAGGCAAACATTCGAGCCATCGGTAAGTTCCTGGGAAATTCAAGGTAATTACCATGAAAAAGGGGGCCGAGATTAAGGTTCCGAGGCACCAGGATTTGCCCATTCGAAATTATGAAAGGGGGCCTCCACCTAATAAAATTCTCTCCAGTCCTTCACCGAACACAAAAATCCCTAAAGGTTGCAACTTTTTCTCAAGTCACCAAAAGTAATCCATGGCAAGTAAAAAGCATCCGCGTCTCCAAAAGCTGATAACAAGCCCCTGTTCCCATGAGAAAAAGAAAAGGAGAAAATCATTAAGTTCCTAAAGGAGATTCGATAGACGACATCAAAAGAAGCTCGATAAAGAGGCATCTATAGTCTTGCCACATTAAAGTTGGAACAAATTCAGGCTGTAAACCCAAGTACCCAACCGATTAGTGACAGATCTCCAATCCAGGGACCATGTTCAATGCTACGCTACTACTTGTTAAGCTTCGTCTTTTCGTTAAAATAAAAAAGAGCGAGAGATGCAATCAGTACATGACAATGGATGTAGCGACGCCCCAATTGGTGTTCGGAGAAAGTTATTGCATAATATTGGTTTTTCAAAACTGCGGCGTCCCTTTACTTGCACAGGGATATAGGGTGTTGGGTGATAAAACTTTTCAAAATGATTTAACAAAAAAATAAAATCGAGATATTTTTTAATCAATTTCTTAGAACAGAAAATTTGTTTCTCCTAGGTAAGTCTATACGAGGGTCATCCACATCCCCGTTATCACGTTCACTTAAAAAAAAAATATTGTGTATCTTAAAATTCATATCTACATAAAATTGTAGAGAATATTAATTAAAAAAGCCTAAAGAAAAAATAGACCATAAATAATATTTTTTTAATTTTAATTTTAATATTTAACATTATCCTTGAATTGAAATTTATAATTTTATTTTAATTTATTTTTTATAAAATTATTTTAAATTCGTGATTCGAATCAGGTTTGATTAAATAATTCAGTTGATTTAAGTGTTTTTTTATTAATTAATTTTTTCTCAATTTAATTATTTAACAATAAGTTAATTGAAAATTAAATTTTATGATTTGTTTCAGTTTGTTTTCTATAAAATTATCAACATTTCATAATTTTAATCACGAGTTTAACATGTTAACTCTGGTTGACTTGAATCATTTTTTGTTTCATTTGTAATCGATTTTTTTGAATTTTAATATTTAATAATGAGTTGTTTGAGAATTGAACTTTATAATTTGTTTAATTTTTTTTATTTATTATGGTTTCATGATCCAGGTCGCGACAAATTAACCTGAGTTGTCTTGACAACTTTTTTTTTATCTTTTTTAAATTTTATCCTTCAATATTAAGTTTATAGAAAATTGAGTTTTATAATTTATTTTGATTCTTTTCTATAAAATTACTATAATCTTATGATCTAGATTAATAGGTCAACTTGAGGTTATCTAAATTAATTCAATATATTGTTATTTCAATGTTTTTGAATCAGTTATTTTAAATGAAATTATATTTTTACTAATCATTTAATTTATTTTTTTTGGATCTATCAATGTAATAAAGTTATATCAAATTAATTCTTACATGATTTAATTTTTTTACTAAAAAATATTAACCATAATTATATATATATTTTACATTTAAAAAATTAATCCACGGCTGTAAACGAAAACAATCATATATTACCATCTATTGATGAAACTAAGCCTTTAGTGGCAAAAGGTCAAAAGTGATAAAAAGCAATAACAAGATTTATTTTGAATTTACCATATATTTTCCTTGTGATGAACCGTAAATGATGCTTAACTCAAATTGCAAATGTAATCACTGTGATGGTACACAAACTTTAATTCGTGGCAAGTCGCTGTATCCCAAGCTTGGCAATGCCCAGACTACTGGCTTAATTCCGTTCCTTCGCCGAACCAATTTACTACCAAGAATGGACATCCATGAAAAGAAAAGAAAAGAAAAATGGAAATGGAGGGCAATTCCCACCTAAATGCTGCAGGCAGGAAATGGACTCCAATCATTCTTTTGATCTCTCTGTTTTATTTTTTTCACGTACAGAATTGCTGCTTTCATTATCGTCGCGTCCGTGGAGCTTTGACTGTGTGGACACTGACCAGACACGAGGGTTCATGCTCACTGTGGGAGTTTGTGCCGCTGCCTGATCAATCGTAGTCTAACAGTAAAGAACTTGAACCTCTGGAATCGCTCTCTCGAGTCTCGACGAAGTGAAAATTTTTAGGTTTGCATATTAGCATAGGATTCCCAAGCAAGTACCGATCGTGTGTTGTCATTGTTTGAATCCTAGAGTTATTAGTAAAATTACTAATTTATCCTGTATAATGGCATTGGATAAATTCGTCTTTTTCTACCAAATTATAGATGACCAGGTCCTACACTTGTAGTCCAAACGACCCCGATGATGACAATGTTTGTTTTTGTGGTGATACGGGATTTTGAAAAATAAATTAATATTTTTTTTTCATTACATTAATTATTATTTTTGGATTATTTAGTATACTAATATGAAAAAATATCTTAATGAATTTCCAAATAAAACCCCCTAATAGTTACTATCAGACGATTCAGACCACGTATTTCAAGAGCAAGTCAGATAAGGAAAAGGTCTCCCCGCGAACTTAACAAAGCACATAATGCCAACCCCAGGTACCCCCTCTGGTCTGATATAAATTAAATACTTTGTTTTCTTCTTTTATTTCTGTCACTCGGTAACGTGAAAATGAAACCATTATATTTTATTTAATAAATTGTTATGAAAATGGAATCTGGTTGAAGGTAAAAAAACAGTTCAGTTAAAGGTGGAAAGCATATCTCGGACCCCACAATGGACACTTCATGATTATCTATGCACCGAAGATGACCTTATTGTATAATTAGAATTAATCTCGTTACAGTAATCATGGGTTATTCTTCTAATTGGTTCTTGCTTTGTCCTATGTGTGACTGGCGAGTAGCCCTTCACAATTAAAATTAAGGGGTCAGCATCGTAATACATGTGTGGTGGGGAGCCTTCTGAATAATATCAACGGGACCCCACCGAAGAGAAAATTATTGCTTCTCCCTCCCTTACCAAGTGACATGTTGGCATTTTGCTTTTATATTCTTATTAATATAAATGGCTCTTTTTTTTTTTATTCTTCTCTTTCACAGTTGCGGACCACAATAATTGGGCATGGACCCCGTCAATCAAGCCTTTTTTTTAATGAGTTTTCTTGTTTTGTTGGCACAGTAAAAAAACAAATTGGTAAAGTGTAAAAAATACAGTACAGTTTTACAAGTTGTAGATACTGTGACTTCATGGTTAATAATATCCATCGTACTTCAAAAATTTTATCAGCATTTAAAAATTTAAATGATTAGATTTATATTAATTTTTAATATATTTTTAAAATAAATATTTTTAAAATTTGAAGCTTATATATTTATTTTATTTTATATTTAATTTTTATTAAATAATGATGATAATGAAATTTAAACATTTTATATTTAATTTTTATTAAATAATAATGATAATGAAATTTAAATTCATAATTATTTAGTCATTAATACTATAATATTATATTAAAAATTTATTTTAATATAAAATTTAAATTATTAAATATAATCTATATTATTAACAGTATAGAGAATAATATTAACATGTGCAGGTTTGATCCAACGTTGATGGTGAATGGAGGTGGGGTCCATAAAGCACCTGGTCTTGATCATAATCAAGTCTCTTCACTTCATCATCGCCACCCCAAAATCCAGCAAGCTTCCTCTGGTTCCATGGAGACCAGCCTCGTCATTCTCATCCACTCCCATGCCTCTCAACTTTTTCATGACTCTAGGAGTCTCAGAGTTTCTGTGGCGGAAGAGAAAACTGAGGTACCCAAGAAAGAGGCTCCGGTGTGTTTTTCAGCTGGACCCAAGCACTCCCTGATCACCAATCTTTGGTGGTATAGTGGAGAGTTGTTGCGCAAGGCACCATTTGAAGAATTCTATGTCATTACATTGGATTCACCAAAAGAGCAAATATTTTAGATGCCAACTAGAGGGGCAGCTATCATGAGGGCAGAACCTAACTTTAGTCTCAGATAAAGAATGATAGCCTTGAGTCGAAGATGGTATCGACTCATTAGCTCTGGAGTTTGTTTCGGGTTGTAGATTGCTTTTAAATATTTTTATATGTTAAAATATTTATTAGTAATTTTTTTTATTTTTTAAAAATTATTTTTAACATAAATACATAAGAATAATTTAAAAATATTAAAAATATATTAATTTAAAATAAATAAATAAAATTTTATTTTTTTTTAAAATGCTTCTAAAAAACAAATCTGCTGACATGCGTATTGCATTCTTTTCTTTAATTTATGACTCGATTAAGCGTATTAAATTTCTAAATATTTTTTTAACACCATGTATAAGTCGGACTGCCATTTGTGTAACCTCATTTTCATAGGCAACCGTGTTGACCCACCGGCTTTTGAGTTATTTCGCTGCGCATAAATATTTTAGCATAGATTTAGGTCAATGACATGAAATGACGCAAGCTAATCAATTAAAATCAAACCAAATATGAAGATAGCTATCCATTATAGGGTTGCACTCGTCAGAAGCACGCCGATGAAAAACACAATTGGCAAAACACATTGGACTAGGGTAATCCATGAGATAGTGTCAAGATCGATAGAATCAACTGGACTTGGACGATGATATTCCAAGGGATGTAGAGGCACATCATAACCGGTAGTAGGGAGCTAATGGTTAGGCATTCAATTAGTGGGAGAAAATGGCAGTAAAGTTGTGGGAAGTTTTGGTGTTTTTTAGGTATGGCTAGTTGAATGGAGGACCCGTGACGGGCTGTCAAACGTGAGGCATGATTGAGAATGCTCTATAAAATTATTAAGTTCATGAGAATATAGGGGAGAAATTACTCTATTATATCTTGAAAAATAAGAATGACAACTTTTCTATTTAATTTTCATGGAATTATTTATAAATATGCTTGTATAACATGCAAGCTTAATGTAAGTTTTGTGTATAACACATCTTCTCCTTGAGATGGTTGTGTTTATGTTCTTACACTCAACACCAAATTAATGTTTGTGGTGAGGAAAAGGATTTATAATTAATATAAATGTTATTAATAATTGTTCTATCCTACTTTAGTAGATGTTGTGGTCATGATATTGCTATCCAAGAACAAAAGTAGAACTCTAGCATTAAACGAGTTGGGAGGGTAGGCAACAAAAGAAAAAATGTATTAGGGTAAACTTGAAATATGAAATTAAAAGCTAGAAGTCTTAAAAAGGGAATAAATTAATTTTTTGCGTGAGCCAGATGCTTGATTATTAAACATAAGGATTAAATTGGAAAGTTTTAATATTCTGGGGCCAAAGCAAAGTCTAGGACCGCCACCGATAAAAATAGAAGAGCTCCCGAAGGACTTTAATGTCAATTGCCAGTCTTTGTTCAGTTCTCACCAGCAAGGAAAAATAAAACGCCATGAAAGCCAATCATTCTCCTCAGGCGGAGACGGGTCTATTTCGAATTATAGTAATAGGAGTTTTTTAAAGTATTTGTTATTTAAAAATATATTAAAATAATATTTTTAAAATTTTGTAAAAAATTATTGTTAATATTAATGTATCAAAATAATATAAAAATATCAAAATAAAATTAATTTAAAAAAATAAAATTTTTTTAAACATAAAAACAAACATAATCTAGTGATACAAACCTCCAATGAATTTTCAGTCAAAATAAAAAATACCCCGCCAACTAAAGATATTATTATTTTCTATCTAAAATTTTGTAAATATTCTGCTAGGATTCGTTCTTCACAATTACAATAAAATTAATAAGATAATTATTTCATACAATAGTTAAAATGTATTCAACAGTTCGTAATGTTATGCTCCGTATAATACGTTTTTCTTCTTTCAAGACAATACTCCCTCCTTTTTTTACGATAATTTTCCCCTGATTAACAATAAATGCACAACTGTATCTTGAAGCACTTGTAATTTTACATCTTTCAAGATTAATATATTTTTAAGAACATGCACAGGGGACAAATTAATAGACCATATTTTAATAAATACTTAAAACGAGTGTGCTTGTTTGTTTTGTTTTTGTGTTCAAAAAATAATTTTTAACAATTTTAAAAATAATTTTTGCTTAAATTATTTTTTATAATTTTGAATCATTTTAATATGCTAATATCTAAAATAATTTTTTTAAAAATAAAAAATATTATTTTAATAAATTTCAAAATAAAAAATTTTAAAAAATAATTACTAATATAATCTCCATCCTCATCATCATCATATCATGTAAAATTGGCTTAAGGGAGTAATAATCATTGAATCCCAGTTGCACTGCACCATCCCATATAACAAAATAATAAATTAATTGTTTTAGAGTGTAATAGTAAATTACATTAAACAGTGATGAAATTAAGTTTTACAAAACAATAAGTAAATATACTGGATAAAGCGTATTATAATGGCATTTTGAACATCATCATTTTTCACAGGATGCAACGTCCTTTTAATAGACATGACTAATTTACAATAATTAAGAAAAAGAAAAAAGAATCACACGACCTCAATTCAAGAACATCAACTATAATCCAACGGTCCAAAAAGAGCAGGGACCATTCAAACTCCAACTGTTGAATTCATCAAACGGTCCTCCAGCATAATAATTATCCAACCAAAAACAAATAAACAAATATTATACAAACAAATGAACCTGCTACACGTCTCACAATGCCAGTCACCCTCCTCTTCCTTTTTATTCAAATTTCAAATTTACCCTCGAATCACCAAACACCACCATTCCATGTACTCCCGCAAGCAGCAACAGCGGCACCGTGGGAGGTTAATAGAGTAATTACACATGAACAAGCCAATCACGAGACCCCTTGATTTTTTTGTGTGCGCGTGGAACCATAGAACCAGATCCACATAAAAAAAAAACTAACTGCAAAATTCAGGATAAGACTTGCTATTTCAGAATCTACGTGGAATGTCAAATCCATGTCAGCATGACGACTTTCCCCTATAAGATGTCCGAAGCCCGAAACCCATCTATTTTGAGCCAGTCCATCAGCTTCCACCCTCTTCTTAAAAGTAGTCTCTCAGCGTCTCCTCTGATCTCCTTCAAATATCATACCGTAGCCGGCTCTTTGGATATCGCCGGAGAAATGAATATTCCGGATATTACATATTCTAATTCTATACGCAATGTCCGTGTTTCAGATCATCGCCGCCATGTCTTCCACGAAAAGACTCTAAGCTAAAACCCATTGTCTTCTCTTGCATAGCTTCCAAGTTTTAATAGATTTTTTTTGTACACAAATTTTGGTAGAATTACTCTTTTTTCTTGAGGCTGTGATTGGGTTTAGTATATTTTTTTTATTTCCTTTTTTGAGCTTTTTGGAAGAGAGAGATAAATACTGGTAGGGATCGGTTTTAACCAGTGCACATTGATTTTAATGAAATATACGAAGTAAGAATCATCAGGATCCGGATAGGTCATTGATGATTAGTCAGTCTCAGTCAGCGTGTAAGCAAGCAGGTCTGTACTAGTGTGTGAGAGAGCCCCCCTTGTTAACATGGAGCAGCTGCAGAACTGACAATCACCCAGTGTTTAAAACCATATAGCAATCCATCCTTGTTAACATTCACTCTTTGTTATGCCTTTCCCTATGAAGATCCAACCAATAGATATTGAATATCAGGCACGGGTTCGTGCTGAACC